TATATGACACAAAAAGCCTCCTCATCTTGAAGAATTAATTTCAACACTTTCAATCCTTGAGGGGAAAAATATTCCAAAACTACAGGATTTACTTAGTGAAAAGAAAAGAAAACTACAGGAGAGAAATGCCCTAATCAACATTGAAGAATGAAATGTGTCGAAGTAAAACTTGACCCCTGCGATCACCTTTAAAATTCTTGGGAGGATTATGAAAGACAAAAAGTGACCCAATGATGATTTACATGATATGAGGTGCTAAGAGGACAAAGCGCATAATTGCAGTTTTTACTATTTCAAGGAACACAAGTTGGAAGTTTCGAAATTACTTGAATCCTTACAGTGGAAAGAAAGTTCAAACACACTTTAGGATGCTTAAAAATTGAAATTTGGGAACGAATTTCTCACAAAATATGCATTAACACTAGTTTCGCTTGAAACCATCCATATCTCTATTTTTTTAAAAACTGCACTCATGCGCCTCATCCTCCAAGCCCCTCATATATGCTGTTGCTTTCAGCAGCTTCTTATTTTATGTAATGTAGTAAGCCGTCATTAAATTAAAATAGGAAATTCTCACTTATGTCCGGTTCAATTGAAAATCACCCGAACAGACAATCTGGATGGGGCAAAAGTTTCAGGTTGAGAATTTGCATATATCACACTACTGCCAAAAGAAATATAATTTCTTGAGTCAAAGCCACTAAGTTGGAGCTTTCACAATAGCATTCCAATATTAAAATTAAGAGATCATTTGAGAACAATTGATTTTCACCATCGTATGTACCATTATTATTTCTCTTACCAACAAAGACTTAACTTTGAATTTTAAGCATCTTTAATGAGCCATCATAAGAGAATAATGATATAAGCACAAGATCACCAATTCTGATTGCAGCTAATCAATAATTGCGAATGAATGAAGCAATTTCTCAGAGAATTTAAATTGGAAATGTTGATTCGTTTTTCCTTAAAGCAATACAAATTGATCTAAGATTTACAACATCCCAATCTGAGTTACACATCTTTAGCCATTACTACAAAACTACAATGGTTGAATTACATGCTTTTCAAATTAAAAGAAATTCCCTTTCACTGACATTTATGCTGCTCGAAGTGAGTGATCGCACTAAGGTTGATAGATAGGTATTATTATTTTTAAAAAAAAAAACAACAAAAAACAGTGAATCTAAATGCTTCCAAAAATTTTATCTCTTTATTGACTTTTCACATGAGAGACAAGACAGACACTAAGAATTTAACAAGATATTTGAAACCAGAACTTACAGAACATGACCAATCAACTAAGCAGAGTACAGCGAGAGTGATGACTTGTGATATAGTTGAGTCATGAAATTAACTCATGAGCAAGTCGCTACACTAAGTGGATACCCTTGAAAAACGAACAAGTCCTTTAATCCTCCATATATCGACAGTGGCAAGCTGGAAATTGAATACAATAACAATTCAGTAAGTAATAAAGTAACTAAACAGAAGACAGTAAGAGTGATTTAGAGGAAATGGTGGTAAGAGATGTGGTTATGCCTGGGGCGATAAGCAGGTTATCCAACTCATTTGATGAAAAACGAACGAATGCCTTAGCATTCGACGTTTCAAGTGACATCATCCATAAAATTGATTTTTTTTCTTTCCTTATAGATTAAAAAGAAGTATCAAGAATTGATACAAAACGCCACACGGAAGCAAAGGATTATAACAACAGAACGGAAAAGAACAGGGAACAAAAGAATGCGAGTTAGCTTGGACCACTTGGATGAGGAAATAATTAGAAAAGTTCCTCCAATGAAATACATCGGCATCTCAGGAGGTGTAGATTGTAAGTGTAATTGGATTTCACTAGTAATTGTAAGGTTACTTTCCTCAATTTCATACAAGAGATAATTGAATGAAAAAGAATTAAAATTTAAGTGCAGTTTTTCAGAACAATCTTAGAAATACTCGAAAGAATGGCACTTTAATTTTTCGATTTTCAAAATATACATCTGACACTGTCAGCTTCTGACAGAGACCAACGAGAAGATTATGAATGAAGAGGCTACATTTTTATCTAAATAAATTCAAGGAGCTCTTGACAAAGCAAATTTGTTTCCCAGTTTTCAGCGGTTGAGCGGTTGAGCCCACCTGAAAATTTTCTTCACAAGTTCAATTCCTTTAAAGATACCATTCAGTAATTAATTTATCATGATTTGCTGTAAGCACTAGGTTCTTCTGCTGAATAAATTAGGAACCGCCCAATTAAAAGACACTTGATTTTAACTGATCGAGAACGTATTGATTATACGATTGATTATTACCGACTTATGAGATCATGAATGTAAGCTGTCGAAGATTAGGACGGTTCAAAAACTTTGCCTTTTTGAATAATTAAATCAACAATGACGAGTTTGGATCTGATGTTGACATTATATTGTTGGGATTGCAGCATCAGCAGAAGGAACGCACTACTGCAACGTGTGGGATGAAGTGCAACAAGGAGATACACCAGATGAGGAGGTTCAACCTACGGACACACCTGATGAGGAAGAGGCATCTGGCGGAGACGGTAAGATGACCGATAAGAGACATTTTCAGAGGAATGGGTGTCCTTAAAGTGCTCCAACTGTTTGTGATACAAATAAACAAAAGCAGAGTATCAAATTCGAACTGTGAACCAAATTGCGCAGTCTCTGAAATGAAATACCAAAGATTGAAAATGAAATGCTTAAGAGTTTAATTGCTTAAAAGTTTGGTACCTCTAATTAAATTTTCTAATTTTTTTGGACAGTGCCCTGAGGATTGTATGATATTCATAATATTCATCTTAAATATTAAATATTACATTTTTAATTTTTCATCTTAAATTTAACATCTGGGTTTTCTGTTATCAATGCTACTTGTAATCGGTTATTCTCATTTTGTTCCATTTTCTCTTTTTTGATTATATTTTTAATTTGACCTCAAATGAGACTTTCGCTGAGAAAGCGACCAGGACTGAATTTGAAATTTCCTTCTCTGCATGAATTTAAGAACATTCAAAATGCTGCAACCTATGTTAATTGGATATGGAGAAAATGCACTTCAATTTATTTGTTAAATTTTCTTCAGATTAGTCATCATTTACAATTTCCAACAGAGTTTTGACAAAACTCTTGAATTTTGTATTTCTAGTCACTTCGAAGAATTACTAAATTGATATGAAAAGTAAATAATTTACTAGGTACTGTATTCTCAAAATCATACTGTTGGAAATATAATGATTGTAAAACCGTTGAAAAAACATTCAAGACTGTATTTTTCTTTTTACAGGAAATGAATCGAGTGGCTCAGAAGATTCCTTCCATTCCGAGTCGACAATGACTGCACCATTTGTTGCCTCACCTACTCCTGCTACCGTCCCATCTGGAGATTCCTTCCCCACAAGGATTGTCAATCTGTCAATCCCTGGAAGGGCGAATTCCCGGATGTGGCCAACGGAGGTTGCCTCAGGGTCTGTGAGGCCAAGAATGGAGTCAGCTACCAACCTGCAAGGTCCTCGACCTCCAAGACCGAGGATCATTGTCCAACAGATTCGTCCTGGCACTCCTCAAGCGACTGCAGCCTCAGGAGGTGTGGGGCCAAGGATGGTCGTACGCATGGCGTCTAGGCAAGGAACCAGCCTGGAGGGTCCTCGACCTGCAGGACCAACAGCTGCCACCGCAAGTACATCGAGCGGAAGAGTGTCAGGACGAAATGTTGCTGGCACGAGGTCTTTACCTGCATCGCGGCCCCTGTCAAACATTCCACGGAACATGAGAAGGAGGGAAAGAACAGCACGCCGAAAGGAGGAACGGGTGACTGCTAAACTAATTGCTGAGCAGCAGGAGGAGTTGAATAGGCTGACTGGCCTTATTTTGGAGGATCAAAAGGCATTTCATACTAAGAAGTTAGAGAACGAGGAGCGAAAGCTAAAATTGCGAGAGAGAGAGGTTGAGATTGCAGAGAAGAGATTGCGACTGGAGGAGGCACGAGAGAGAAGGGCGACAGCAAACCAATTGCTCCGCCAACAACAACTGGCAGAGTTGAGACGCCTGAATGAGACAGTCGATCTGACCATTCAGACTTTCTTCGGACCTTCACTCTAAGTTTTCTTCTAAGTTCTGTGTAGTACATAGGGTGTTCAAAAAGTTTTGCACATTTTCGAGTTTTGAGCAAACGAAAGCAGCTACCAATTTGCGGTTTAAGTGTGCTTAAAGTAGACACGATTACCAATGACACAAGACCAAGAACAAGAGAGTTGTTCTTGGTCTAGTTTCTTTGGTAATTGTGTCTACTTTAAGCACACGTAAACCACAAATTGATAGCTTTTTTCCTTTGCTTAAAACTTGGAAANACTATTCTCTTCAAAAATAAAAACAAATTCTGTTTGAAAAAACAAGCATATTTGACATTTTGTCGGTCGAAAGAAATTTCATGGGGAAAAAAGAAATTTCACGAAATTTCATTCGATGAAATTTCTTTTAGCAACTCTGTGCGAGAACCACGAAGACAGAAGAACGTAAACAAAAACACATGTAGACCACATGTACTGGTGGATTTCGCATCCATCAAGAATAAACAGGACTCAACAAATGCATCTACTCGCCCAAAAAGTAGGATTGAATCCTACTTTGAATTCAATCGCGGCGATTGGAGAAATTCCGAGAATTTCACTCGCCCGTCGCGGCGATTGACCGAATACACCTGCGTTTAAACGCCGCGATTGCAATCGCGGCGATTAATCGCCGTGTGTATCTAGGCCTTTACGGTCGACCGCAAGTTGAGCTTCAGACGTAAATAAGCTTTTCACCAGTAACCACAGGCCCGTCATCGGACGGTCCTATCTTGGTGGATGTTGCAAGAGCTCTGATGTGAGAAAACGCGCGAAAATTGGTGATAATTCAAAAGGTTTAGAGGTTATATTGAGATAAGAGATAAGCAAGCGTTTTATTAGGGATATTACGTACCTACTTTTGCACGTTGTTGGCCCGTGATAATTGGTAATTCTTTTCGTTATAATTGAGCAGCTGTGATATTGTTTTAACCTGTGATATTAGTTTTTAGATTTTTTACAAAACCTGTTTTTTCATTGTTAAATTGTTGTTTGTTACCTTTTTCTTTAAACTTTAATTTCGATAATGTCCAACCAAAGTGCGCGTTCTCTGAATTTCACGGGGGCGGAAAAGGAGAAGATAGTCGAAATCGGTATGGAGTACTACGATCTTCTCCATTCCCCCCTGAACAATAGTGTGACCATGGCAGAGAAAAACCGAATCTACCAGCTGATGGCAGAGGAGGTCAACAAGGTTGGCCTCAACTCCAGATCAGTGAAACAGGTCAGACCACTTTATTTTTTGTTCAGTCATGTAAGATATTCGCTGTGGAGGTAAAATGATTTTCGCAGGATATTGTGTGCCGGAACTTGGATCCAAGGAGGTGTTTGTTCACTTCGGATCCAACTTCTAGCAGTACAAAGTCCGTTAACTCACATTCTACCAAATTACCCATCAAGTTATCATTCTCACAAGCCAGGAACACACAAACACATCACATTCATCAATAGCCCTGAACAGTAAATTTCCACGAAGCGAACTTCGTCCAGTCATGGTTAAATGGCAAGTAGTACACTTACTTTACTCCGCTCAGCATCGATGTAAAGTTCCATTCTTGGCAGCTACGGATGACTGCATCCTCCCAATGACTTCAGGTATGTAATCTTTGAGAAAATTTTCCACTGCTTTTTCCTCGCATGCAGAGAAAACTGGTCTTTAAATATACCTATTTTTCCACGAGCCATGAGAAAAGCCCCAAAATTCCGAGTACTATACAAATCACTGATTACAGACAAAGGTGATAAAACTTGCCAAAGAAAAAGGGAAAGATGGTCCAACAGAACCCAACCTTTTGACACTGAAAATTTTTTGGAAATATTTTCAGTAAATCAGATACATTGTGGCCAAAAAGTAATGACAATCTCCTAGAGCTTGTCAGCATTTCCAGGTTTTTTGATCCTTCATCCACTGCTGGCACATGGAAAATTAGAGCTTCCTTTTACTCTTATTCAAGTTCCTTTCATTTGTCACCTCATCTCATCATCTCATACAGAAGTGTAATTTGGACGATTGAAGATTTGTTTTAGACCTCCACTAGATTTTTGGTGACTTTAAAATGCCCAAGATGTACAGAAAGTTTGGTGGTTTGCGCAAGTAAACATTAACCGCCACTGGAAACTGAGACATAAAAATTTCTTTAAGTGAAGCTTCCAGTTCGGCTGATTCTTTTAAGCTGCAGAGGGTCATAGAAAGAAGCAGAGGAGATGTTACCACTTACAATTCTTCAATGTGAGACACATAGAAAAATTATTTCTAACAACTTTAGGTAAGTAGAGGCAGCAATAAAGAAACTCACTAGAAAGTAATAGTATATGACACAAAAAGCCTCCTCATCTTGAAGAATTAATTTCAACACTTTCAATCCTTGAGGGGAAAAATATTCCAAAACTACAGGATTTACTTAGTGAAAAGAAAAGAAAACTACAGGAGAGAAATGCCCTAATCAACATTGAAGAATGAAATGTGTCGAAGTAAAACTTGACCCCTGCGATCACCTTTAAAATTCTTGGGAGGATTATGAAAGACAAAAAGTGACCCAATGATGATTTACATGATATGAGGTGCTAAGAGGACAAAGCGCATAATTGCAGTTTTTACTATTTCAAGGAACACAAGTTGGAAGTTTCGAAATTACTTGAATCCTTACAGTGGAAAGAAAGTTCAAACACACTTTAGGATGCTTAAAAATTGAAATTTGGGAACGAATTTCTCACAAAATATGCATTAACACTAGTTTCGCTTGAAACCATCCATATCTCTATTTTTTTAAAAACTGCACTCATGCGCCTCATCCTCCAAGCCCCTCATATATGCTGTTGCTTTCAGCAGCTTCTTATTTTATGTAATGTAGTAAGCCGTCATTAAATTAAAATAGGAAATTCTCACTTATGTCCGGTTCAATTGAAAATCACCCGAACAGACAATCTGGATGGGGCAAAAGTTTCAGGTTGAGAATTTGCATATATCACACTACTGCCAAAAGAAATATAATTTCTTGAGTCAAAGCCACTAAGTTGGAGCTTTCACAATAGCATTCCAATATTAAAATTAAGAGATCATTTGAGAACAATTGATTTTCACCATCGTATGTACCATTATTATTTCTCTTACCAACAAAGACTTAACTTTGAATTTTAAGCATCTTTAATGAGCCATCATAAGAGAATAATGATATAAGCACAAGATCACCAATTCTGATTGCAGCTAATCAATAATTGCGAATGAATGAAGCAATTTCTCAGAGAATTTAAATTGGAAATGTTGATTCGTTTTTCCTTAAAGCAATACAAATTGATCTAAGATTTACAACATCCCAATCTGAGTTACACATCTTTAGCCATTACTACAAAACTACAATGGTTGAATTACATGCTTTTCAAATTAAAAGAAATTCCCTTTCACTGACATTTATGCTGCTCGAAGTGAGTGATCGCACTAAGGTTGATAGATAGGTATTATTATTTTTAAAAAAAAAAACAACAAAAAACAGTGAATCTAAATGCTTCCAAAAATTTTATCTCTTTATTGACTTTTCACATGAGAGACAAGACAGACACTAAGAATTTAACAAGATATTTGAAACCAGAACTTACAGAACATGACCAATCAACTAAGCAGAGTACAGCGAGAGTGATGACTTGTGATATAGTTGAGTCATGAAATTAACTCATGAGCAAGTCGCTACACTAAGTGGATACCCTTGAAAAACGAACAAGTCCTTTAATCCTCCATATATCGACAGTGGCAAGCTGGAAATTGAATACAATAACAATTCAGTAAGTAATAAAGTAACTAAACAGAAGACAGTAAGAGTGATTTAGAGGAAATGGTGGTAAGAGATGTGGTTATGCCTGGGGCGATAAGCAGGTTATCCAACTCATTTGATGAAAAACGAACGAATGCCTTAGCATTCGACGTTTCAAGTGACATCATCCATAAAATTGATTTTTTTTCTTTCCTTATAGATTAAAAAGAAGTATCAAGAATTGATACAAAACGCCACACGGAAGCAAAGGATTATAACAACAGAACGGAAAAGAACAGGGAACAAAAGAATGCGAGTTAGCTTGGACCACTTGGATGAGGAAATAATTAGAAAAGTTCCTCCAATGAAATACATCGGCATCTCAGGAGGTGTAGATTGTAAGTGTAATTGGATTTCACTAGTAATTGTAAGGTTACTTTCCTCAATTTCATACAAGAGATAATTGAATGAAAAAGAATTAAAATTTAAGTGCAGTTTTTCAGAACAATCTTAGAAATACTCGAAAGAATGGCACTTTAATTTTTCGATTTTCAAAATATACATCTGACACTGTCAGCTTCTGACAGAGACCAACGAGAAGATTATGAATGAAGAGGCTACATTTTTATCTAAATAAATTCAAGGAGCTCTTGACAAAGCAAATTTGTTTCCCAGTTTTCAGCGGTTGAGCGGTTGAGCCCACCTGAAAATTTTCTTCACAAGTTCAATTCCTTTAAAGATACCATTCAGTAATTAATTTATCATGATTTGCTGTAAGCACTAGGTTCTTCTGCTGAATAAATTAGGAACCGCCCAATTAAAAGACACTTGATTTTAACTGATCGAGAACGTATTGATTATACGATTGATTATTACCGACTTATGAGATCATGAATGTAAGCTGTCGAAGATTAGGACGGTTCAAAAACTTTGCCTTTTTGAATAATTAAATCAACAATGACGAGTTTGGATCTGATGTTGACATTATATTGTTGGGATTGCAGCATCAGCAGAAGGAACGCACTACTGCAACGTGTGGGATGAAGTGCAACAAGGAGATACACCAGATGAGGAGGTTCAACCTACGGACACACCTGATGAGGAAGAGGCATCTGGCGGAGACGGTAAGATGACCGATAAGAGACATTTTCAGAGGAATGGGTGTCCTTAAAGTGCTCCAACTGTTTGTGATACAAATAAACAAAAGCAGAGTATCAAATTCGAACTGTGAACCAAATTGCGCAGTCTCTGAAATGAAATACCAAAGATTGAAAATGAAATGCTTAAGAGTTTAATTGCTTAAAAGTTTGGTACCTCTAATTAAATTTTCTAATTTTTTTGGACAGTGCCCTGAGGATTGTATGATATTCATAATATTCATCTTAAATATTAAATATTACATTTTTAATTTTTCATCTTAAATTTAACATCTGGGTTTTCTGTTATCAATGCTACTTGTAATCGGTTATTCTCATTTTGTTCCATTTTCTCTTTTTTGATTATATTTTTAATTTGACCTCAAATGAGACTTTCGCTGAGAAAGCGACCAGGACTGAATTTGAAATTTCCTTCTCTGCATGAATTTAAGAACATTCAAAATGCTGCAACCTATGTTAATTGGATATGGAGAAAATGCACTTCAATTTATTTGTTAAATTTTCTTCAGATTAGTCATCATTTACAATTTCCAACAGAGTTTTGACAAAACTCTTGAATTTTGTATTTCTAGTCACTTCGAAGAATTACTAAATTGATATGAAAAGTAAATAATTTACTAGGTACTGTATTCTCAAAATCATACTGTTGGAAATATAATGATTGTAAAACCGTTGAAAAAACATTCAAGACTGTATTTTTCTTTTTACAGGAAATGAATCGAGTGGCTCAGAAGATTCCTTCCATTCCGAGTCGACAATGACTGCACCATTTGTTGCCTCACCTACTCCTGCTACCGTCCCATCTGGAGATTCCTTCCCCACAAGGATTGTCAATCTGTCAATCCCTGGAAGGGCGAATTCCCGGATGTGGCCAACGGAGGTTGCCTCAGGGTCTGTGAGGCCAAGAATGGAGTCAGCTACCAACCTGCAAGGTCCTCGACCTCCAAGACCGAGGATCATTGTCCAACAGATTCGTCCTGGCACTCCTCAAGCGACTGCAGCCTCAGGAGGTGTGGGGCCAAGGATGGTCGTACGCATGGCGTCTAGGCAAGGAACCAGCCTGGAGGGTCCTCGACCTGCAGGACCAACAGCTGCCACCGCAAGTACATCGAGCGGAAGAGTGTCAGGACGAAATGTTGCTGGCACGAGGTCTTTACCTGCATCGCGGCCCCTGTCAAACATTCCACGGAACATGAGAAGGAGGGAAAGAACAGCACGCCGAAAGGAGGAACGGGTGACTGCTAAACTAATTGCTGAGCAGCAGGAGGAGTTGAATAGGCTGACTGGCCTTATTTTGGAGGATCAAAAGGCATTTCATACTAAGAAGTTAGAGAACGAGGAGCGAAAGCTAAAATTGCGAGAGAGAGAGGTTGAGATTGCAGAGAAGAGATTGCGACTGGAGGAGGCACGAGAGAGAAGGGCGACAGCAAACCAATTGCTCCGCCAACAACAACTGGCAGAGTTGAGACGCCTGAATGAGACAGTCGATCTGACCATTCAGACTTTCTTCGGACCTTCACTCTAAGTTTTCTTCTAAGTTCTGTGTAGTACATAGGGTGTTCAAAAAGTTTTGCACATTTTCGAGTTTTGAGCAAACGAAAGCAGCTACCAATTTGCGGTTTAAGTGTGCTTAAAGTAGACACGATTACCAATGACACAAGACCAAGAACAAGAGAGTTGTTCTTGGTCTAGTTTCTTTGGTAATTGTGTCTACTTTAAGCACACGTAAACCACAAATTGATAGCTTTNCCTTGGGTTCAGAAGTTTCTCTGAAGCAAGAGGAGCCCTTTTCGATTACGTTTCAATCAAAATGCAATCCTCACTCAGATTTTTTGGAAAAAATAACCCTGCGATGCCCTACGCGGCATTTATAAATATGATCAAGGCGTTAAAATATTTTCACCGCGAGGGCGCGAACCGTGAACGCACGGGTCATGGGGCGAGTGCCTTGCCGCTTAGCTACGCCGTTAGGAATTGAGATGGCGAATTTGCCAGTACATAAGGCAAATAAAGTTCTTTCTTTCTCCACTAGAGCTGAGAGTAGAGACGCATCGGTGAAACGCTCTTGCTTACTGATGATCTGCGGCAGGATTTTTGTCATCCCTAACCTTCTAAGCCAAGAAGGAATCTCTGCTAAACTCAAACGCCCAAATGTTGTTGGCACACTTTACGGTCGACCGCAAGTTGAGCTTCAGACGTAAATAAGCTTTTCACCAGTAACCACAGGCCCGTCATCGGACGGTCCTATCTTGGTGGATGTTGCAAGAGCTCTGATGTGAGAAAACGCGCGAAAATTGGTGATAATTCAAAAGGTTTAGAGGTTATATTGAGATAAGAGATAAGCAAGCGTTTTATTAGGGATATTACGTACCTACTTTTGCACGTTGTTGGCCCGTGATAATTGGTAATTCTTTTCGTTATAATTGAGCATCTGTGATATTGTTTTAACCTGTGATATTAGTTTTTAGATTTTTTACAAAACCTGTTTTTTCTTTGTTAAATTGTTGTTTGTTACCTTTTTCTTTAAACTTTAATTTCGATAATGTCCAACCAAAGTGCGCGTTCTCTGAATTTCACAGGGGCGGAAAAGGAGAAGATAGTCGAAATCGGTATGGAGTACTACGATCTTCTCCATTCCCCCCTGAACAATAGTGTGACCATGGCAGAGAAAAACCGAATCTACCAGCTGATGGCAGAGGAGGTCAACAAGGTTGGCCTCAACTCCAGAACAGTGAGACAGGTCAGACCACTTTATTTTTTGTTCAGTCATGTAAGATATTCGCTGTGGAGGTAAAATGATTTTCGCAGGATATTGTGTGCCGGAACTTGGATCCAGGGAGGTGTTTGTTCACTTCGGATCCAACTTCTAGCAGTACAAAGTCCGTTAACTCACATTCTACCAAATTACCCATCAAGTTATCATTCTCACAAGCCAGGAACACACAAACACATCACATTCATCAATAGCCCTGAACAGTAAATTTCCACGAAGCGAACTTCGTCCAGTCATGGTTAAATGGCAAGTAGTACACTTACTTTACTCCGCTCAGCATCGATGTAAAGTTCCATTCTTGGCAGGTACGGATGACTGCATCCTCCCAATGACTTCAGGTATGTAATTTTTGAGAAAATTTTCCACTGCTTTTTCCTCGCATGCAGAGAAAACTGGTCTTTAAATATTCCTATTTTTCCACGAGCCATGAGAAAAGCCCCAAAATTCCGAGTACTATACAAATCACTGATTACAGACAAAGGTGATAAAACTTGCCAAAGAAAAAGGGAAAGATGGTCCAACAGAACCCAACCTTTTGACACTGAAAATTTTTTGGAAATATTTTCAGTAAATCAGATACATTGTGGCCAAAAAGTAATGACAATCTCCTAGAGCTTGTCAGCATTTCCAGGTTTTTTGATCCTTCATCCACTGCTGGCACATGGAAAATTAGAGCTTCCTTTTACTCTTATTCAAGTTCCTTTCATTTGTCACCTCATCTCATCATCTCATACAGAGTGTAATTTGGACGATTGAAGATTTGTTTTAGACCTCCACTAGATTTTTGGTGACTTTAAAATGCCCAAGATGTATAGAAAGTTTGGTGGTTTGCGCAAGTAAACATTAACCGCCACTGGAAACTGAGACATAAAAATTTCTTTAAGTGAAGCTTCCAGTTCGGCTGATTCTTTTAAGCTGCAGAGGGTCATAGAAAGAAGCAGAGGAGATGTTACCACTTACAATTCTTCAATGTGAGACACATAGAAAAATTATTTCTAACAACTTTAGGTAAGTAGAGGCAGCAATAAAGAAACTCACTAGAAAGTAATAGTATATGACACAAAAAGCCACCTCATCTTGAAGAATTAATTTCAACACTTTCAATCCTTGAGGGGAAAAATATTCCAAAACTACAGGATTTACTTAGTGAAAAGAAAAGAAAACTACAGGAGAGAAATGCCCTAATCAACATTGAAGAATGAAATGTGTCGAAGTAAAACTTGACCCCTGCGATCACCTTTAAAATTCTTGGGAGGATTATGAAAGACAAAAAGTGACCCAATGATGATTTACATGATATGAGGTGCTAAGAGGACAAAGCGCATAATTGCAGTTTTTACTATTTCAAGAAACACAAGTTGGAAGTTTCGAAATTACTTGAATCCTTACAGTGGAAAGAAAGTTCAAACACACTTTATGATGCTTAAAAATTGAAATTTGGGAACGAATTTCTCACAAAATATGCATTAACACTAGTTTCGCTTGAAATCATCCATATCTCTATTTTTTTAAAAACTGCACTCATGCGCCTCATCCTCCAAGCCCCTCATATATGCTGTTGTTTTCAGCAGCTTCTTATTTTATGTAATGTAGTAAGCCTTCATTAAATTAAAATAGGAAATTCTCACTTATGTCCGGTTCAATTGAAAATCACCCGAACAGACAATCTGGATGGGGCAAAAGTTTCAGGTTGAGAATTTGCATATATCACACTACTGCCAAAAGAAATATCATTTCTTGAGTCAGAGCCACTAAGTTGGAGCTTTCACAATAGCATTCCAATATTAAAATTAAGAGATCATTTGAGAACAATTGATTTTCACCATCGTATGTACCATTATTATTTCTCTTACCAACAAAGACTTAACTTTGAATTTTAAGCATCTTTAATGAGCCATCATAAGAGAATAATGATATAAGCACAATATCACCAATTCTGATTGCAGCTAATCAATAATTGCGAATGAATGAAGCAATTTCTCAG